TTTAGACTTCCTCTCTCTCTTCCCTACTTTAAGTACTTAATATCTGTGGAAATTGCCAAATGGTCCATTTGTGCTTAATGCCTCCTATAGAAACTTTAATTGATTAAAAAGAATATTCCTTAGCAAATACAGACAGTTTAGTTCCCATTCGAGCGCATCTGAATACAATCTACCTGCATCCCTTAGCAACTCATTTTGTTTCTGAGGCCTTTGCTGTTGTTTTTCAATCCCACCGTAAGTCCCAGGGAGGAAATGCTCAAGTGCAAAAACTTGCCAGGTGACATAGGGATGAGATAATCAAAGGAAGGTTTCAGTGTGGAAAACAAAAGGCTGGTGACCTCACTAAATGCTCTTTCTGATGCTGTCTCTAAGGTTAGCAGATCCTGGCGGACATTGATTCTTAGGATCCATGATACAGTTCATCAGAAGAAAGGCCACTGGAGCATGGCAACTCAAATCTGGGGACGCCTGAACTGCTTTGAAGGATGTGTGGATATAAACAGTGTAGAGTGTAAGCTTCCAGTCTCCAGCTTCTTTAAAATTATGAATGTCTCACAGACAGTGCCACACTGGTTTTCTTGTGCTATCTCCCGTTTTTATAATTACCCATATCTTGGGAGGTGGTGGCACATGCCTTTAATACCAGCACTTGGGAGGCAGAGGCAGGCAGACCTCTGTGACTTCAAGGACAGCCTGGTCTACAAAGCTACACAAAGAAACCTTGTGTCAAAAAAATGCTGGTGGAGGGGATGGAGCATGATGGGGGGGGGGGCAGGAGAGGAAGGGAGGGAGAGGGAACTGGGATAGATATGTAAAGTAAAACTGTTTCTAATTTCAAAAAATAATAATTATCCATCTCCCACTTTAAGACTTTAGGATATATTTTAGACAATGAAGTCAATGGATAATTGCACCATGAACCTTATTCTGCTCATTTTTTAAATGAATAAATCATGTCAACTGGCAAATGTAATTTTCATTGCATAGTGTATCCATCCTTTCATTAACTGGAAAGGCAAATGGGGTTGGCTTTTACATCTTTAATAATTCGAAGGATTTGAAGGGTAAAATGCATCTAGCTGCCTAAGAATGCTTCTTTTCTCAAAATAGGAAAGACCCTCCCTTAGCCATGTTCATGTTTGGTATGGATGCATGATTTACTGTGCATCTGGAAGCCATTCTCCTGAGACGTCTTCATTGTTTCCCTTGGTGATAGATACTAGGAGACATCACCCGGATATTATTAATCCTTGGTTTGTTTTTCCAAAATATCAAGTCTCACGTTAAATCCTTTATTCTCCATGAGGTTTTCTAGAGTAATCACTCCTTGGCTAGACCATGCATTTTCTATATCAAATAACCTTGCCTGCATTCCAGTGTGTTCTGTTCCCAGTTTATACCTTAAAAACATTCAGAATAAGTGTGACTGGACATGTAACGGTTTTCAAATTTTGATATAATATTCTTTATTCTTATTTAAATGAAGATGTTTGGAGTGAAATAGAATTCATACATATCAATTTACTTTTAAAAATTTGAGAAAACTGTATCTAAAGAGAAACAAATTTTGTAGGGTTTATTTAAGTTTATTTTGTTTATGTGTATGTGCCTGTGTCTGTATGAGTATATGCCAAGTGTGTACGGATTTCAGGGAGGCCAGAGGAGGGCGCTGGATCCCCTGAAGTGGGAGCTATGGGTAGTTGTGAGCTACCTGATGTGTGTACCAGGAACTGAATTCAGGTCTTCAACAAAAGTAGTATGTGCTTGTAACCAGTGAGCTTCTCTGTAACCACAAGAAGAAAATGTGAACTATGAATTTACTATTCATCCTAGATACTTTTGGTAGAGGCTGGATATAACAGAAATGATAGTCATGATGGGGATGCACTTGATGAATGAATGTTAACTGAGTTTTGGCAGATTGAATTAATGTTTATAGTACTTCCTTATGCTTTCATAGGGGTATTGTATATATGTACCTTTACCATGGCTTTGTGGTGGACAAATAATAATTGACTATTGTATCAACATTCTCCTACTACAATAAAATGCCTGATGTAATCAAATGGAAAAGAGGAAAGGTTCAGTTACCTTACCATTTTGCAGGCATAAGTCCACGAATAGTCAGCACCATTGCTTTCATGCTGTTGTATAGAGGAATTTCAATCACCTCAGAGTTTGTGGGGAAAGGAACGGAGAAAGCAAACCTAGTTCCACAATTCCCTTTGACAGCATGACCACGTAAACCTATCAATTGCCATTAGGCCCCACCTAAAAGTTTCACCATCTTCACACAATTGTATGCTTGGAATTAAGCCTTTAATCCAGGATCCCTGGAGGGGCATTAAATATACAAATTATATTACCTACTCTTTGACTTTAGGCTTGGCCACTTGACTTCTTTTGGTCAGTGGAAAGGCATGTGAAATGAGCCACAGGACAAGAGCATGCAGCAGGTAGCCACGCCCCATGGCTCAGCATATAGGATGAGACATGTGGAAGAGAACAGTCTACAGCCAAGGATGATCTGAACCAGAGCCATATATATAGTCACAGTACTAACGAGCAAGATTGCACCCAGAAGCATGAGTGACCTATACCTCCTCAGGCGTGGTATAAATTTACAGACACCACTGACCTTTGGAAAAGCAGTTTATTGAACAGAATTATTGTAGTGGTAGTGGACTCTTGGCAGAATGTCACCTCCTCTGAGGGTAGCTTTCTAGCCATCAGAAGTGGATTCATCTCCATCTCCTGACAACTGGCTGGCCCTGGAGACTGAAGAGCAAAGCTTAGGCAGTGATCACCCCTGGATCTCCTTTCTTTCTCTGTACCCTAATTGTTTTATTGACTCTTTTCTTTTTGAGTTTTCTACTGGCATAGTTTCATTAATTAATGGGTTTCATAAGGATAATTTCTTTCAAGCATAGCAGTACTTTGAGTATATTTATTATCTAAACCTTCCCTCCCCTCCACCATCCCATTTTCCTCTTCTACTACTTCATTCCTTTCCCCAAGCTCCCCCTTCTACATACATCTATATAAAATCTGGAATGGACAAATGAGAGAAACACATGATATTCGTCTTTCTGAATCTGGTTTATTTCAGTTAATATTATGATCTTCAGTTACATCATTTTGCATGAAATGAAACTTTATTCTCTTCATGGCTAAGGGAAACTCTGTTGTGTCACGACAGTACCTTTTCTTTACTCTTTCATCTGCTGATGTGTCCTCCTCCCAAAAGTGACTGGGATAAACCACACTCAAACACTGTCTTGAATATTGCTCAAATATTTCCATATCCCAGGCAGATAAGGAGAGACACTCACACCTGCAAGGAGTCTCAGGAATGAGAAACAGATTGAGCGTAGGTGTTCCAGTAATAAACAGTGGAGAAAATTATATAGTATTAGGATAGACCCAATGGGCTTGACTGAGGCAGTTTGCCAGGAAAATAATATAAGTGCTTCCTGAAAGTCAGATTTAGGTTGGGCCAGCAGTGGTCCAGTAGTGGGCATAGGTCTAGGATGATGATAGCCAGTAGTAGGACTCCAACTGACTACAGACATAGTGATCTGCCAGATTCCTGAGGCATGGGTCAGAATGGAGAAACTTGTTTTGGGAATTGAATAAAATGTAGGGTGGAAGGGAACCAAGGAGGGGCCAAGGAAGAAGTCCACAAGAGATTGGAGCAGTGGGATGACAATCATGCACCATAATGCTGGTTATATAGGGTGCTGGGGACTGAACTTGAGGGCTTATTGCATGCTAGGAAAGTGCTCTACCAACCTAACTTCATCCCTAGCTGTCCTTCCCCAGCAGAATTGTTCCTAACATCACAAATCATATCAAACATACCACTCCTTGCTTAAAATCTTCCTGTAGAGACAGCTGTGGTAGCACACACCTTCAGTTCTTGCACTGGGGAGGCTAAGGCAAGAGAGTCATGAGTTTGAGGCCAGGTTAGGGAAGGGACACACACCTGAGAGAAACATTTTCTGCAGTTTCCTTGCAGTACTAGGAGATAGGTGACAAGGCACAGACAAATTATGGGAAGTCTTTCTTGGACTGAAGGGAGTAGAGGAGTCTTGCTTTTTCTGCAGGTGAAGGTTCTACACAGTAAAATATTCCATCCTCAACAACACTGATGCTTTTAAAATGGAAATAAAAGAACTCAAAATTTCCAAGAGGATCAATTTCTCTACCGCCTGTCTCTGGGGGTCTGTACTTGAGCTTGGACAGTGTAGCGCCAGCATGCCATTCCTTATTATCACTCTCCCTTTGAGATTTGGGAATCAGTTCAGGGACTGCTCAACCGTCTTGTACCTTACTTCATCCACTGGGCCTCTGCGTCTTGTCTCCCTGAAGGAGTATACTGATCATTCCCTGTCCACCACCAGTATTGTCTTTTTTCCACTCTCTAAGCCCCAGGTGTACTTTTCTGGTAGAGTGATTACAAGTGGGGTCAAGGTCATCTTGCAGAGAGCCAGAGACTAGTTCCCAGCACTCACAACTGCCTGGAACTCCAGCTCTGGAAGATCCTCTCTCCTCTTTTGACACCTGCCCTCACATGTACATACCTATTCACCCCCACTACGCATAAGTAAAACTCCAATAAATTTTAGAAAGACTTATGTTAACGAATGCAGACAATGCTGTCTTCTACAGGCAGGAGAGAGGTTTTCACTTCACTACAGTTTTCTGCGGAAGGTTGCTGTTGAGTACATTCAGACTTAGAAGTCTGAGTTCCACCATAGTCACTTTAAGTATAAAGGAACTGCAAGCCTCAGATACTCTAAGAGAGTCCCCTTGCTGTTTTCGAGTGTTTTGATAGATTCGGTACTTAGAATACGCTTGTCTACAAGCCTATGAAAGATCACAGAATATTCTAACGCCGCTTTTCTGATTTCTGTTCCATTTTCGGAGCTCCTCCGAGTCCATGGATGGAGAT